AAAAAAAAAAAAAAAACCAAAAACAAACAACAACAAAACCACAAAATAACAAAAACCTCCAAAAAATTCAATATGAGTCAAATTCTTCCCCAGAAGGAAATCTGTAAAGGAACAGGGTATAAGAAAACTCAATGCTCAAGTTCCTGGGTCTATAGAAAAAAAAAAATTTTAATAAGAGTTAATAATTCCTTTTATATTGAGGAATGCAAAGGATATCTGTTCAAAATATGTAAGTACCTTTCTTTTGTTATGCCAGCCAAAAGGAAAAAAAAGTACCTTTCAGGGGTCCAGAGGACAGAACCTATTCGTGCCTATGTCACAAGGTATACATTCCTAAGACGTATCTCACCTATCTGCATTGATTCATTTCCAAGTACAACACAAAAATGAACCTTTCTTCAGATAAAGTTATTTAAATTATTCCATAAAGGGGATGCCACTGACTCAAATGATATGAAAACACAACGATAAACTAGGTGCATTCTCATGTACCAATCTTCTAATGAGGGGCTGACAAAGTACCCCTTTTTGTATGGCCCAAGAGCTAAAATTTGTTTTTTATATTTTAAAGGGTTATTTTAAAAAAAAATTCAACAATTAAAAAAAAAAAGAAAAAAAGAAAAATAAAAAAATATGCAACAGAGACCACATGCAGCCAAACACTTACTTTACAGAAAAAGTTTTCATATCACGAAAGTAAAGTGAAGTATTTCTGAAGGTTCAGCTTAGATAACAAACAAAAATATATTCTCCTGCCTCAGCCTCCTGAGTAGCTGAGATTACAGGTGAGTGCCACTACACCAGACTTTTTTTTTTTGAGATGGAGTCTTGCTGTGTTGCCTAGGCTGAAGTGCAGTGGCATGATTTTGGATCACTGCAACCTCTGCCTCTTAAGTTCAAGCGATTCTCCTGCCTCAGCCTCCCAACTAGCTGGGATTACAGGCGCGAACCACCACGGCCAACTAATTTTTGTATTTCCCGTATAGACAAGGTTTCAGCATGTTGGTCAGGCTAGTCTCAAACTCCTGACCTTGTGATCCGCCTGCCTCAGCCTCCCAAAGTGCCGAGATTTACAGACGTGAGTCAACGCACCCAGCATTTTTTTTTTTTAATTAAATAGAGACGAGGTCTCGGCTTTGTTGCCCAGGATGGTCTCAAACTCCTGGACTCAAGTAATCCTCCCAAAGTGCTAGGATTACAAGCATGAGCCACCAAGCCCAACCAGTATTTCTCAATTATTAATACACATGCAATTCTTCATCACTGATTAAGAAGCCAAATCATAAAAAGTGGGGAAAGGAGTATAAATTTACAATTTACTTCTTTGCTTTTATATCTTAGTTCTTTCCTTATCTTGCCCAACACCACCAACTCCACAAATATGTACTCACCATTAGCTTTCAGTGAAGACAAGAGGCAAGCCATCATGCTTTTGGCCACACTTGGGTCAGTTACTTTTTTGTGAATGTCCATCTTTATGAGAGAAGGGAAGTTGGCAAGGAAAGTTTCTGGCAATACTTCCTGTTCTTCATGGAAACTTAACATTATTTTCTGGAAAAAATGAGAATCTCTTGACTTGCACAATAGTTACCCATTATATATCCATACCCAACTACAGAACTTAGCAACACGAAATCAGTATTTAATAATTCTTCCTGTCTAAGTATCACACACGGGATTAATTATCTTGTAATTCTAGCTGAAGCATTTTCACTTTCTTAAGACAGGGTCTCCTTCTGTTGCCCAGGCTGGAGAAAGAAAGGCACTCTTCTCGTGCATGTGCAGGTGTATGCTCCCCCTCTATACTGCCAAGGCTGGTCTTGAATTCCTGGGCTCAAGTGATCCTTCTGCTTCGGCCTCCTGAAGTGCTAAAATTACCCAGGTGTGTGCCACTGTGCCCAGCCAGCATTTTCACTTTGTAATTACAAAGTTTGGCTGCGCACAGTGGCTCACACCTGTAATCCCAGCACTTTGGGAGGCTGTGGCAGGCAAATCACAAGGTGAGGAGTTCAAGACCAGCCTGGCCAACATGGTGAAGCCCTGTCTCTACTAAAAATACAAAAAATTAGTTGGCCGTAGTGGCAGGCACCTGTAACCCTAGCTACTTGGAAAGCTGAGGCGTGGTGGAGGCAGCTGTTGCAGTGAGTCGAGATTGTGCCTCTGCACTCCAGCCCGGGCAACTGTGCGACTTTGTCTCAAAAAAAGAAAAAAAAGTTTGTCTAACTAAATGCTGTGTGCTAATGAATTCTGGAACAGGAAAAGCACATTAGCAGAAAAACTGGTGAATAAAGTTTGGTGTTTGATTAATAGTAATGTACCAATGTTGGTTACTTAGACTTCACAAACACAGAAAATGGATGAGTAGTATACTGGAATTCTGTTTTAACTCTGCAACTTTTCTATAAATCTAAAATTATTTAAAATACACAAAATGTTTTAATGTATTCTTTACACAACAATGTGAATGTACTACTACTCTATACTTAAAACAGTTAAGGTAAATTTTATGTTATGTATATTTTGCCACAATTTAAAAAAGGTTCTTATGCTGAAACGTGTCAGATGTGGAAGAGCAATAGGTCAGCAGCTCAATCACCAGCATAGTGTTAATGTAATCCCAAGTAAGCGAGGCAACACCAAACCAGCCTTTTGTTACATAGCCATGTGACTAAGGGCAGAAGGTAAATAGAAACTATGAAAAAAAATATGAATACTGTGGTGTGGTGGAGAGAGGTAGAGAATTTTAGAAAAGGAGAAGAGAAACAACATGAAAGAAAAATGTATTACAAGTAAGAGTCCAAATATCTTTTTTTTTTTTTTGAGACGGAGTTTCACTCATGTTACCCAGGCTGAAGTGCAATGGCGCGATCTCGGCTCACTGCAACCTCCGCCTCCTGGGTTCAGGCAATTCTCCTGCCTCAGCCTCCTGAGTAGCTGGGATTACAGGCACACACCACCATGCCCAGCTAATTTTTTGTATTTTTAGTAGAGACGGGGTTTCACCATGTTGGCCAGGATGGCCTTGATCTCTTGACCTCGTGATCCACCCACCTCAGCCCCCCAAAGTGCTGGGATTACAGGCTTGAGCCACCGCGCCCGGCGTCAGCATTCTTTTAAGCTTCACTTCTAATCATTCTTTTAAGCCAGTTCTTATGCAAACTGAAATGTGAGAAAAACTAACACCTCCAGTAAAGCTCTTTTTATTTAATTTGGAAAATATTCCTCTATCAGAAGCATTCAAGGCCAGGCGTGGTGGTGCGTGCCTGCAATCCCAGCACTCTGGAAGGCCAAGGCAGGCAGATCATGTAAGGTCAGGAGTTTGGGACCAGACTGGCCAACATGGCAAAACCCTGTCTCTACTCAAAGTATAAAAACTAGCCAGTCATGGTGGTGTGCCTGTAACAGCTACTCAGGAGGCTTAGGCACGAGAATTTCTTGAACATGGGAGGCAGAGGTTGCAGTGAGCCAAGATCAAGCTACTGGGTTAACAGGGCGAGANAGACGGGGTTTCACCATGTTGACCAGGATGGTCTCGATCTCTTGACCTCGTGATCCACCCGCCTCAGCCTCCCAAAGTGCTGGGATTACAGGCTTGAGCCACCGCGCCCGGCCGAGTCCAAATATCTTAAAAGTATTTACTCAGCACAGAAATTATCCTCAAGAAGGATCTAAAAAATGCATATACTGGCCAGGTACAGTGGCTCATGCTTGTAATCCTAGCACTAAAGGAGGCTGACAGGGCAGGTGGACTGCTTGAGCTCAGGAGTTTGAGACCAGCCTGCGCAACGTGGCAAAACCCCATCTCTACAAAAGAAAATAAATTAGCCGGGGTGTGGCTGGCTCACATCTGTAGTCCCAGCTACTTGTGGGGCTGATACAAGAAGATCACTTGAGCCAGGGAGGTCAAGGCTGCAGTGAGCCATGTTTATGCATTATTGTTTATGCCATTGCATTCCTGGGTGACAAGGTGAGACACTGTCTCACAACAACATATACTGATGTATAAACCAAAATCATCATCTAATGTGTTGGCCAGCATGGGGCACAAAACTTTTTGAGAGATTTAAGTTGGGACAGGACAAACTTAGTAAGAAGTGCTATCACAAAGTTAAGACTCTCAAGAGAAGCTCACTCTTATTTTTAAATCACAATGTAAAACGCATAACTTAGAAGGCAAGTTATTAACCTTCTGACAAACAACCAAGTAGATTTCGATTACTTAAAACTGTCCTGAGTACTCAACAAAAAGACCATATCATCTTTTTTTTTTTTTTTAGATGGAGTTTCGCTCTTTTCGTCCAGGCTGGAGTGCAATGGTGCAATTTCAGCTCGCTGCAACCTCCACCTCCTGGGTTAAAGTGGTTCTCCTGCCTCAGCCTCCCGAGTAGCTGGGATTACAGGTGCCTGCCACCATGCCCAGCTAATTTTTTTTTGTACTTTTTAGTAGAGACAGAGTTTCACCACATTGGCCAGACTGGTTTCAAACTCATGATGTCAGGTGATCCACCTGCCTTGGCCTCCCAAAGTGCTGAGATTACAGGCATGAGCCACGGTGCCCAGCCAAGACCCTAACATCTTTAAGTCCGAAGCTTCGAAACAATGAGGAAAAAAAACGTTCTTTAGTTGTCTACATTGTGTTTTTACCTGAGGAAATATTAGGACAGTACTCCCAAATAAAAAATTGTCTCAATATTGGGGGAACAGTGAAAAACGTCATGCTAAGAATAAGCCATAAGAATTCTTTCTGCAAGAATTTAGAAAGCACTGAGATGTTATAATGTATCTATGAACTTTTCCATTATTCTAAGTACCATATTAAAAAAAAAACAACAATAAGACCATTACCATAGTATATTTCTAAACATCTGTGTATTACCTCAGCCTCAGAGAGTTCCTTGTCACCATTTGGCTTGGTATACTTCTCCTGCATGAAGGGGATCCAGGAAATTTTACATTTTTTAATAAAGGGGGTCACATCTACAGTGCCCAAGGCATAACCACATATGCCATCTTCATCTTCTAGGACAAAGCAGTAATCCAGGCTGAGGGAAAGCAGCCCTCCCACTAACCTGCTCAGAAGGAAAGAGACCACAGTAAATTTTTAAGTTGCTAATACAAAATTCAGATTTCAGTGATTCAAGACCCCTGTACTTGAACGAACTTACGGAAACTACATCTGGTGTAAGAGAAATCGGAAATGTACACATATTCAGATTTTACTAAAGCTAACGTAACATTTAAAATAAATAAATTTATTTCCAGTCATCACCTCCCCTCAACCTGATAAGCCTGGCTATGGAAAGTCTACTCCCAAATCCAAATACTCATCACATACTTGTCTCCAATAAGATCTGGCTGACTTTGAAAAGGTAAACCCACTCCATCGTCATACATTTCTCTGCAAATCTTGTACACGGATGCCTGAAAATACAATCTAAGTTAGGCAACACATCAAGAAAAATGGTAGCAGAATCTAAAATATAACTCACAATTTAGTCTGGAGAAAGACTAACAAAATGGCCTATTGGAAATAGCACCTCTTCTCGTAAAATAAAGATTTACTCATTGAGTCAGCTTTGTAAAACCAGCAGAAAACAGCAAGGTTTTAGGAATACTAAGAATTGGCTTTTATAGGATGGTTTTTTTGTTTTCTGAGACGGAGTCTTGCTCTGTCACCAGCCTGGAGTGCAGTGGTGTGATCTCAACTCATTGCAACCTCTACCTCCTGGGTTCAAGGAATTCTCCTGCCTCAGCCTCCCAGGTAGCTGGGATTACAGGCGTGCGCCACCACACCCAGCTAATTTTTAAATTTTTAGTAGAGACGGAGTTTCACCATGTTGGTCAAGATGGTCTCGATCTCCTGATCTCGTGATCCGCGCGCGCCTTAGCCTCCCAAGTGCTGGGATTACAGGTGTGAGCCACCCCACCTGGCCTGCAGAGGATGATTTTTGATAAGAAACTGTGAATTCAAAGGGCAACAAACCTTGAGGCATAGAGTCTCTTGACTTTCTATACATTAAAAATACTTCTAAAATGTTTAAACCTGTTACTGTCTTTACATTTTTGAAATGCGAGTCACTCTGTCTCCCAGGCTGTAGTGCACTGGCTCAATCTCGGCTCACTGTAACCTCCACCTCCCAGGTTCAAGTGATTCTCCTGCTTCTGCCTCCCGAGTAGCTGGGATTACAGGCATGCATCACCATACCTGGCTAATTTTTTCAATTTTTTTTTTTT